AAAAAAAAAAAAAAGAAAGAAAATCAGTAAAATTTTACTCAAAAGTCATAAAATGATATTTTGCCAGTTCAATCTTATGTTAAAACTCTCTTCTGTTGAATATGCAGTGTTACTGTGGTCCAGTCTTTCCGCTTAAACCCTGGAAGGTAAAATTCAATATTATTATTGATATTTCTTGGTATTATTGATATTTCTTGCATTAAATTGGTCATTTTCTTGGTTGCCTTTTATTCTCTTATTTCTTTATGTATCTTTAGTTTTCCTGGTAGGCACTCTTTTAGAACTTCTGAAGAGTGGGTCTGCTATTGGTAAAGTCTTTCAGGCCTTGTTTATCTCAGAATGTTTTTATCCTTTCTTTTCATATGAAAGATAATCTTGCTGGATATAGTATTCTTGGTTGAAGCTGTTTTTCACTTAACGCTTTGAATATATGTTCCCATTCTTTCCTTGCTCGCATTGTTTCTGATGAGAGGTCTGAGGTTAGCCTAATTGGACAACCTTTATAAGTAACCTGACATTTCTCTCTTGCCAATTTTAGTATCTTGTCTTTGTCTGTAGATTTGGCCAGTTTTGCTATGATGTGCTTTGGAGATGATCTTCTTGGCTTGATGCTATTAGGGGTCCTTTGTATTTCTTGGGTCTGGATACTTGAATGCCTCTCTAGATTTGGAAAGTTTTCTTCCAAGATTTCATGGAATAGATTATCAATGCCCTTATTAGTTTCCTCACCTTTTGGGATACTGATTATCCGGATATTTGGGTGCTTAATGCTGTCTGGTATTTCTCATATAGTATTCATTTTGGGGGGTTATCTTCTCAGTTTTTTTTGGTTGTTTTTTCTAGATCAGAGGTTTTTACCTTCCACATCCGAGATTCGATTTTCTACATGGACTAATCTGCTTTTAATACTTTTGAGGGAGGTTTTGATTTCCTGAATGATAGCCTTCATCTGTAATAGCTCCATTTGATTTTTTATGGTGTGTATTTCCTCTCTCCGATCACGGAGGAAATTCAACTCCTGGAACTCGTTGCCTCTTTTCTCCTGTATCTTCGGGAGTTCACTATCTCTCAGCTCTTGCATCTCGTTTAGTTTTGTCACTATGAATATTCTGAATTCTCTATCAGACACTTCCACAAGTCCTACTGTACTGTCTGGGGATGATAGGGTATTGTTTTTATCCCTTAGGGGAGAGGTATTTTCTTGGTTTCTCATGTTTATGCCTCTGTGGTGGTTTCTAGTCATTCTGTGACAAAATCTCTCTCCCAGTTGTCTGAAAATCTCTTAAGTCTAGAAGATGAAGGTTAGAGCATAGCTTCCCTGAACAGGCCAGCACACACCTCAGCTTTAAAATGATTTCTTGTCAAGGGACCAGCAGTTAGCGTAATGGCTATGTTGATGGAATACCCTGTAGTCGACCACTATGTTGCTGAACTCCCAAGTAGTTGACAGGCGCGTGTGCGTGCATGCCCAAGATCCCGAGAAGAGAATGAAGGACAAGGGATTGTGGTGTGGCCATTGCCGCGGCGGGGGGGGGGGGGGCGGTTTCTCGCTTTCTGTCTCTGTCTGTCTGTCTGGCGAGCGCCCGCGCCCTATAGCGAAAAAACCTCCCCCAAAAAAGAAAAAAAAAAAAAAAGGCTTCCTGTCTGACTATTTCAGGAGTCTAGAAGATGGAAGTTTAGAGCATAGCTTCCCTCGAGCAATAATTCTTGAAGGCCTTAGGTTGTGATAAAAATTGGTTATTCTAAGTAGTGGCAAGTGATAGGTTGTGAGAGAGAGAGTTTTGCTATAGGGCATGTGCACTCATGGAGAGACAGAAAGAGATGGAGAGAGAATGTGAGAAATCACCCCTCCACCGGGGGCTGTCCACACCACCATCTCAAAATCACTTCTCCTTCATTCTCCTCTTGGGACTTTGGGCATGCTCATATACGTGCCCAACACGAGTTTCAAGCCACTGGGTCCAAACTCCTACTGCCATCAGCCATGTGAGAATCCAGCACCTTAATCAGTATGACACCTGCTGCTCCCCACCCTTGAAGGGTTTTAAGTGGGGTTATTACATGATCTGAACTACAATTAAAAACAAATACCCCAGAGCCAACAGGTGGTGTGGAGGTTAAGGCACTGGATTCCCACATGGCCAATGACAGTTTGAGTCTTATAATCAGCACCTCGAATATCACTCCAGGAATATGTGCATGCACCCAAAATCCAGAGAGGAGACGAGGAGAAGGGACTGCTGTCACCAAACAGAGACAGAGTAAGAAAGGGGGAAAGTGAGAAAGAAAACTATCAGGTCAAGGACTCAAACCTCCATTTGCCATGTGGGAGTCCAGTGCCTCAACCATCACACCACCTGCTAGCCTCTCCCAAGAGAAATTCAGGCTTTATTTTAGCACTCGGTCCTGAAGTTACAGAGTTTGACAATTATTATAATTTTTAAATTTCTTCTGTGAGCAAGAGAGAGAGCAGCAGTCTCAACAGGGTCTTCACACTGAGCTCTATCCCCAGGCTCAGCTAGCCATGACCACTGAAATGCACTGGCCTGGAGTGCCCGAGGAGGTCCCAGGATCTCTCCCATGGGAGGACAGTTGCCACGCTGCTGCATCACAGTCTGTCCCCAGAGCCCTTGCCTGGAAGGCAGCAAGAGTCCACATGGCTGACCCCCCGGTTGGAGATCCGCCTGAGCAGGCACCTCTGCAAATTTGCAAATAATCCACAAAGCATGGAGAAATGGGGCGTGACTATGCCCCATAGGGGTTGCTTTCTCTCTCTTCATGTCTTTGGCCTGTGTACACCCTCTAGATAATGTAAATAAAATAAAATGTCTGCAAATGAATATGTGAAGCAGGGGTGTGTTACGTACCTTATCAAAACAGGTTCCTCAAACTCTGATCATGCCCATGCTCACCTTTTCCTTAAATCTCTTCATTCTGGGGCCCAGTCATTCAGCTGTCTTCTTACAAGGACCAAGTTGGGAGACCAGCAGATGGCCGTCACGTCGCTGGACTCTCAGGTAGTCGACCACGGTTCGAGTCCCAGGCGGTGGCTTAAACTGTGCAGTAGAGGAGATGAAATGAGAAGGGATTGCTGCAAAAATCTCTCTCAAATTAAAAAACAAAACCAAAAACAAAAAAACTGGGCTGGTTCAGGTCATGAGCTCGGCGGAGGCACTTCCCCAAATGGCTGCCCATACCTGGTGTAGCGCAACCGACTACTGTCCCTTCGGGACTTGGAAGGCACCTGGAAGCAATTTGCTCAGGGCGCAGACTTCGCCTGACATCATCATGAGGCCAGCAGGCACCCCGAGGTCCTCCCCAACGTGACCTTGCCTCTCAGGGCCGGTGGTAGGGTGGTCGGGTAGAGACGCCAAGGACGCTTGGGCTCGGCTTGGCCGAGGGCACAGGGCGGGGTCGGGAAATGGAACAGCTCAGTAGCCCAGGCTTGCACAAGTGTGGAATCCGCCTGGAACTCTCTCACTGAACCCCGGTGTCCAGGTCTGCGGCCACCAAGAGAGCACGCGCAGGTTTAAGGGACCCTAGTGCGCCTGCGCCTGCGTCGCGGGGCGGAGCTTGCGTGATGACGAGAAAGGCTGCGTTGGGAGCGTGCGTGCGGCCCAGGGGCGTGACTAACCGTCGCCTGGCTTCGCACTTCAACTGGCGTTGGTGGCTAGTTCACCTGTCACTCTGTTGTCCTTAAAAGCGCTTTCGGGCCATTTGTATCGCGTGGCATCAAAGCGTTTGTGAGTGTCCGGTGCTGAACGGAAATGGAGTCGGGCTGGAGCAGTAACGAGGCCGGCGGGCGCCCCAGGCCCACCGGCCGACGCAGTCTGGTCCTTGCCTTCTGTCCCCCACCGTTTGACCAGAACACTCTCTCTTGGCTCCAATATTTTGGAAACTGGAGCTGTGTTTCCTTGAGTGCGGATAGTAAGGGAAATCTTATTATCTCTACTTAGGTTCTCAGAATGTCAAGTGTCAAGGAGCAGCTTATTGAGAATCTAACCGAGGAAGATAAGGTGTCCCACTCTAAGATCACCATTGTCGGAGCTGGCGCCGTTGGCATGGCCTGTGCTATCAGCATCTTACTGAAGGTAACCAGGAAGTCCGTCCTGTGGCCGCAAGTCAAGTAGGCACTGGTCGGGCTTGTAGATGTTGATGGATTCAGGCTTGCGTGGCTAAGCCCTTGACTGTGAAGAGGTATCCTCTCATTTGATTTTTTTTCTTAAAATTTTTTAGAGGTTTTTGCTAGAGGGCTCGTGCGCTCTCCAGAAAGACAGAGAGAGACAGAGAGACAGAAAGCGAGAAATCACCTCCCAGGGGGGATGGCCACACCACAGTCCCTTCTCTTCCATTCTCCTCTTGGGATCTTGGACATGCACGCATACGTGCCCCGCGTGAGTTTAAGCCACCAGGTCCAGGACTCGAACCGCAGTTGGCTACATGGGAGTCCAGCGACATGGCTGTTACACCAACTGCTGATCCCTTTCATTTGATTTTGACACAATTTAGGAAGCATTTATTTGGAGCTGACCATGTGTCAGGCATTGCCAGACTTTTAATTTTCTCATATTATTTGGTTACTATAACATTTTTGAACCCTGGTCAGCCATGTGGGAATCCAACACCTTAACCAGCACTCTGCCTGCTGTCCTCTGCCACCTTCCACTTTCAAACCTCATAGACACAATGCTCACCTGTTAAACTGGACCAATGCCCGTTTGTGAACTGTGTCCAGAAGGAGAGGCTGGAACAATTGGCTGGGTCTGGTCAGATGCCCGTTTACCCCTAGGTGGAGGACCAGTGTTGCCTGGACTGCACTCAATTACAGGGAATGAGTGACATAGAAAGAGGAATTGTGTTACCAGAAAAGGGTTACTGACAGGTGAAAAATAATAGATGTTACAGATACAAGTAATCTGTCTAGTGTTGTAAGGTGGAGAGAATGTGGTGAACGATTTACTGTGTTTAATGTTACAAATAGTTGAGACCCCAAGCATACACTAATCACTTTGATTTAATCATTATACATTGTATTCATGTACTGGAAAATCACATTGTACCAGACATTATGTTAATTAAAAAGGATCTGGGGGCCAGCCTGTGGTCTTGTGGTTAAGTTGGCTAGATCCCCTGTGGTCAACTGCATGGTTGGTGTCCTAAACCTGACGGCTTGTACAACGTGCCTGGCACATGTGGGTGTGTGCCCAAAATCCCAAAAGGGCGGAGAAATGGAGGAGAAGGGATTGCAGTGTGATCATTCCTCTAGGGGGGTGTTTATCACTTTTTCTCTTTATCTCTGTGAGTGCAGAAATCTTCTGGAAACATTTTATAAATAAATATGCAAAATTTATTATTTTTTGAGAGATTTTTGCTATAGCACAGGAGCACTCACCAGAAAGACAGAGAGAAAGTGAGAAATCACCCCCCACCACCACCACCACCAAGAGGGATGGCCCCACCACAATCCCTTCTGCCCTATTCTCCTCTTGGAATCTTAGGCATGCATGCATATGCACCCAGTTTTGAGTTTGCAGCCGCTAGGTCCAGGACTTAAACCATGGTTGACTATGTGGAAGTCCAGTAACATAACCGATATGCCATCTTCTGGTCCCAATTTATTTATTTATTTTAAGAGATTGTTGCTATAGGGCACGTGTGCTCACTGGAGAGACAGAGAGACAGAAAGTGAGAAATCACCCCCGGGGGGATGCCCCTGCTGCAATCCCTTCTCCATTCTCCTCTCGGGATTTTTGGACACACACACACAGGTCCCCAGTGTGAGTTTAAGCCAATGGGTCCAGGACTCAAACCGTGGTCGATTACATGAGAGTCCAGCAATGTAACCATTATGCCATCTGCTAATCCATAAATATACAATATTTATAAGAAAACAACAGATGTTTACCACAGATGGCTACCTTTCTATTTGGTCATAAGGATGAAAACTAAAAACAGCTTCAGCTACCTCAGAAATTAGGTTCAGTGTTAAATATAACATCCTTTGAAAGAATTTCATAGTTACTCATTGTGTTTTTTAAAAAAATTATTTTATTTATTATTTTTAAATTTGACCAGACAGAGAAAGAGAGAGGAAAGTGAGAAAACAAGCTGCCAGGTCTCAGACTTGAACTGTGGTCTTTCGTGTGGGAGTTTAGCGCCCTAACCACCATGACACCTGCTAGTCCCTGCTTATTGGTTTTAAACTATTTTCCAGGAACCAAAAGATGGTGTAATGTTTACATCACTGGACTCCCACATAGTTGATCATGGTTCAAGTTGTGGACTTAATCGCTTAAACTCACACTGGGCACATGTGCATGTGTGCCAAAGATCCCAGTAGGAGAATGGAGGAGAAGGAATTTTGGCATGGCCATCCCCCTAGGAGGGTGATTTCTCACTTTCTGTCTCTCAGTCTCTGTCTTTCTAGCGAGCACATGTGCCCTATAGCAAAAATCTCTCTCTGAAAAAACAAAACAAAAAACTATTATCTGAAGGGTTAAAAAAAACAATTCTAAACAATTCTTTAAAATTTTATATTTATTTATCTTATTTTAATTTGACCAGAGAGGAACAGAGAGAGAAAGAGAGAGAGAGAGAAGTGAGAAAGCAAGCTACCAGGTCTGAGACTCAAACCATGGTAGGTCATGTGGGAGTCCCATGCCCTTAACTACCACACCACCTGCCACTCCCCCAGTTGTAAAAATTTCTAACAGTTATGTGTAGGCAAATTAATGATAATATCTGCTCCATCTATTGTTTACCTTAACTTCTGGTAACTTTAGGCACATTCAAAAACTATTTTTATATAATTTTTCTCTTATTAAAAATATGAGACTTGGGGCCAGCAGTTGGTGTGGTGAATGATTAAGAGTGCTAGACTCCCACAGGGCCGACTACAGTTCAAGTCTCGGACCTGGTGGCTTGCTTTCTCTCTCTCCTCCCCTCTCTGATCAAAATAAAATAAATAAAGTGAAATAAAATAATTCTTAAAAAAAAAAAAATAAAAGAGACTCCTGGGGCCTGCAAATGGTATGGAGGTTAAGGCTGCTGAATCCCACATGGCTAACTGGTTGGTTCAGTCCTAGACCCAGGACCTTGAAAAACATGCTGGACGTATTTGTGTGTATGCCTAAAATCCCGAGGGGAACGTGGAGGAGAAGGGATTGTGGTGTGGCCATCTCTTCTAGGGGGGTGATTTCTACCTTCCTTCCTCCCTCCCTCCCTCCCTCTTTCTCTCTCCAGGTCAGAATATGTGCCCTATAGCAAACTGAAGAAAAAAAAAAAAGAAAGAAAAAAGAGAGACTCCTTTGATTATAAAGGAGCCATATGAAAATTCTTTTCATTCTTCTACAACTTAAGGAGGAATGTTTTTGGGAACATTTGACCTAAAACTTTGATGTATTTTAGGATCTGGCTGATGAACTTGCCCTCGTTGATGTCGCCACAGACAAATTGAAGGGGGAAATGATGGATCTTCAGCATGGCAGTCTCTTCTTTAGTACTTCAAAGATTACCTCTGGAAAAGGTTAATTTTAGTTTATAACATTATTTTCAGATGTTTAAAAGTAAGTTACGAAATTTACCAAACTGATGTCAATAAACATAAAATTTTAACACCGTGCCAGGCCAGCTCCATGGCATGGTTGTTAAGACAGCTGGATCTTGAGTGGCCGGCCTCATGGTTTGAGTCCTGAATCTAGCAGCTTGAGAAACATGCATGTGCATTCATTCATGTCCAAAAATATCAGCAGGTTGGAGAAATGGAAGAAAAGGGATTATGGCATAACCATTCCCCATAGGGGGTGCTTTCTCCCTTTTCCTCTCTCTCTCTCTCTGGTGAATGTACACACCTTCTGGCAAAAATTAAAACAAAAATAATGCTATTAGATCATATAGTTTATTCTTTTTTTCTTTTAAAAAACATGGAATGCTTCACAAATTTGTGTGGCATCCTTGCACAGGGACCATGCTCATACCCTCTGTGTTGTTCCAGTTTTAGTATAAGTGCTGCCAAAGCAGTCATTAGACCATATAGTTTAAGAAGTTAATTTAAAAAAAAACTATTTTGTAATTGTAGAAAGTTCAGAAAATATAGAAAAATATAAAGATAATTTTGAATCTTTTTGGTTATTTTATTTTTCTTTTTCTATGCACTTTTAATTTCTTTTTAAATGCCAGAGGATGAGTGTATCTCCTTGAGAGAGACAGAAAGGGAGATGGAGAAAGCACCCTTGAGTGGGGCGTGGTCATGGTGAAGTTCCTTTTCCTTCATTTCTTTATCCTGCTGGGGTTTGGACACATACACACATGCACCAGACATGTTTTTCAAGCGCCTGTGCTGGGATTAAAACAAGCTTACTAGTTTTAAAACATTTTGTTAGCGGGCATGTGCATTTTCCAGAGAGAGCCAGAGAGAGGAGATGGAGAGGAAGAAGGTACACACAATGGGGCATGGTCATGTTGCAATTCTTTTCCCTCCATTTCTCCATTCTGCTTGGATTTGGAGCACACATGTGCCATGTCTTTTTCAAGCCACTAGGGCTGGGATTTGAACCATGCTGTTGGCCATGTGGGAGCCAGCTCCTTTAACCACTAGGCAACAGGAGTTGCCTACATTTTTTTGGGGGGGAGAGGTTTTCGCTATAGGGCACGTGCGCTTGCCAGACAGAGAGAGACATAGAGACAGAAAGCGAGAAATCATCCCCCAGGGGGGATGGTCACGCCGCAATCCCTTCTTCTCCATTCTCCTCTTGGGATCTTGGGCATGCATGCACACATGCCTGGCATGAGTTTTAAGCCACCGGGTCCGGGATGCGAACTGCAGTTGACTACACGGGAGTCCAGCGACATAGTCATTACGCTAACTGCTGGTTCCCAAGGAATATACAACAGACTTTCCAAGAGCAAAGGCATAGCAATCATGGCAATCTAGATCCAAATATTGTCTTTTGTTTCCTTTCTAGATTACAGCATATCTGCAAATTCTAAATTAGTTATTGTCACAGCTGGGGCAAGGCAGCAGGAAGGAGAAAGTCGCCTTGCCCTGGTCCAGCGTTGTGTGTATGCCTAAAATCCCGAGGGGAACGTGGAGGAGAAGGGATTGTGGTGTGGCCATCTCTTCTAGGGGGGTGATTTCTACCTTCCTTCCTCCCTCCCTCCCTCCCTCTTTCTCTCTCCAGGTCAGAATATGTGCCCTATAGCAAACTGAAGAAAAAAAAAAAAGAAAGAAAAAAGAGAGACTCCTTTGATTATAAAGGAGCCATATGAAAATTCTTTTCATTCTTCTACAACTTAAGGAGGAATGTTTTTGGGAACATTTGACCTAAAACTTTGATGTATTTTAGGATCTGGCTGATGAACTTGCCCTCGTTGATGTCGCCACAGACAAATTGAAGGGGGAAATGATGGATCTTCAGCATGGCAGTCTCTTCTTTAGTACTTCAAAGATTACCTCTGGAAAAGGTTAATTTTAGTTTATAACATTATTTTCAGATGTTTAAAAGTAAGTTACGAAATTTACCAAACTGATGTCAATAAACATAAAATTTTAACACCGTGCCAGGCCAGCTCCATGGCATGGTTGTTAAGACAGCTGGATCTTGAGTGGCCGGCCTCATGGTTTGAGTCCTGAATCTAGCAGCTTGAGAAACATGCATGTGCATTCATTCATGTCCAAAAATATCAGCAGGTTGGAGAAATGGAAGAAAAGGGATTATGGCATAACCATTCCCCATAGGGGGTGCTTTCTCCCTTTTCCTCTCTCTCTCTCTCTGGTGAATGTACACACCTTCTGGCAAAAATTAAAACAAAAATAATGCTATTAGATCATATAGTTTATTCTTTTTTTCTTTTAAAAAACATGGAATGCTTCACAAATTTGTGTGGCATCCTTGCACAGGGACCATGCTCATACCCTCTGTGTTGTTCCAGTTTTAGTATAAGTGCTGCCAAAGCAGCCATTAGACCATATAGTTTAAGAAGTTAATTTAAAAAAAAACTATTTTGTAATTGTAGAAAGTTCAGAAAATATAGAAAAATATAAAGATAATTTTGAATCTTTTTGGTTATTTTATTTTTCTTTTTCTATGCACTTTTAATTTCTTTTTAAATGCCAGAGGATGAGTGTATCTCCTTGAGAGAGACAGAAAGGGAGATGGAGAAAGCACCCTTGAGTGGGGCGTGGTCATGGTGAAGTTCCTTTTCCTTCATTTCTTTATCCTGCTGGGGTTTGGACACATACACACATGCACCAGACATGTTTTTCAAGCGCCTGTGCTGGGATTAAAACAAGCTTACTAGTTTTAAAACATTTTGTTAGCGGGCATGTGCATTTTCCAGAGAGAGCCAGAGAGAGGAGATGGAGAGGAAGAAGGTACACACAATGGGGCATGGTCATGTTGCAATTCTTTTCCCTCCATTTCTCCATTCTGCTTGGATTTGGAGCACACATGTGCCATGTCTTTTTCAAGCCACTAGGGCTGGGATTTGAACCATGCTGTTGGCCATGTGGGAGCCAGCTCCTTTAACCACTAGGCAACAGGAGTTGCCTACATTTTTTTGGGGGGGAGAGGTTTTCGCTATAGGGCACGTGCGCTTGCCAGACAGAGAGAGACATAGAGACAGAAAGCGAGAAATCATCCCCCAGGGGGGCTGGTCACGCCGCAATCCCTTCTTCTCCATTCTCCTCTTGGGATCTTGGGCATGCATGCACACATGCCTGGCATGAGTTTTAAGCCACCGGGTCCGGGATGCGAACTGCAGTTGACTACACGGGAGTCCAGCGACATAGTCATTACGCTAACTGCTGGTTCCCAAGGAATATACAACAGACTTTCCAAGAGCAAAGGCATAGCAATCATGGCAATCTAGATCCAAATATTGTCTTTTGTTTCCTTTCTAGATTACAGCATATCTGCAAATTCTAAATTAGTTATTGTCACAGCTGGGGCAAGGCAGCAGGAAGGAGAAAGTCGCCTTGCCCTGGTCCAGCGTAATGTGAATATCATGAAATCAATCATTCCTACCATAGTTCATTACAGTCCTGAATGTAAAATGCTTATTGTTTCAAATCCAGGTGAGTTCCCTTCCCTTCCCTTTCCTTCCCTTCCCTTGCACCCCAGCTACAGTTGTTCATGTGTTCCCTTCCCTTCCCTTCCCTTCTCTTCTCTTCCCTTCCCTTCCTTTCCCTTCCCTTTTATTGGGTAAGGATGATATATCTTTCTTTCTTTCTTTCTTTTTTTTTTGAGAGGTTTTTGCTATAGGGCATGTGCGCTCACCAGAAAGACAGAGACAGAAAGAAAGTGAGAAATCACCCCCCAGGGAGGATGGCCATGCCGCAATCCCTTCTCCTCCATTCTCCTCTCAAGATCTTGGGCATGCACGCACATGTGTCCGGCGTGAGTTTAAGCCACCGGGTCCAGAACTCAAACTGCGGTCGACTACATGAGAGTCCAGTAACATAGCCATTATGCCAACTGCTGGTCCCATCTTTCTATGTCATTTATTTTTTTAAAAATTTTATTTTAAAAAACTCATGATAGAGTATGTATATGTACTTGAGAGAGAGAGGAAAAAAAAAAGAGAGGAGCACCCTCCATAGGCTCTTGTCATACTGCGGTCCCCTTCCTTCAGTCCTCTAGCCAGCCAGGATCCTAGGCATGTGCATATGTCTGGTGTTTTTTTGTTTTGTTGTTGTTGTTGTTGTTTGTTTTAATAATTACTTATTTAGGGACCAGCAGTTGGAGTAATGGCTATGTAACTGGACTCCCATGTGGCCAACCGTGGTTCGAGTCCCAGACCTGGTGGCTTAAACTCATGCCAGGTGCGTGTGCATGAGTGTCCAAGATCCTGAGAGGAGAACGGAGGAGAAGGGGTTGCAACATGGCCATACCCCGACCCCCCCCTCCCCGGGGATGATTTCTTGCTTTCTGTCTTTCTGGCGAGCGCACGCATCCTACAGCAAAAACATCTCTCCCCCCAAAAGAATTATTTGTTTATTATTTATTATTATCATTAATTTGCTATTGAGCACATGTGCTCACCATGGAGAGACAGAGAGAGAGGGGAAGTGAGAAAGCAAGCTGCCAGGTCCTGGACTGCTTTTTGTAGTTATTGCTGCTTATTGTAGTTACTGCATGTTTGTCTCATGGATGTTTATGAACTAATTCTGTAACATCTATATTTTCTCTTATACATGGCCACAGAAGTCTTTGCTCCATTTGCTTAGTGGTCAGCTTCTCCTAAATGCCTGGAGCCAAAAATATCTCCTAGTGTTTGCTGGAGGTGTGTGTGTATTGGGGTGTTTACAGCTGTCCCTCAGCTTTTACTTTCTATCACGCAGAGCCTCGAGGTCGGTACAGAACAAAAGCTGAGGGTCTTATCGTTTTCCTGAGAATGCACATGCCCTGGGTGTGCAGTGGCATTTTTCTGGGGAAGATGTGCAGATAGTTTAGATGAGGGTGCAGTAACGAAGAGAAGAAATCTAAGGAGGCAGAATTGACTGATTATTCAATACACAGGCTTACATAGGATCTCAAGAGAGGATTTTTTTTTTTTTTTTAAATTTTGGAGGTATAGGGAAGGTGAGAGTGAGGGGATCAAGGGGAAGAAAAAAGAAGCAAAACATGGGACCAGAAGTTGGCATAATGGCTGTGGTGCTGGACTCCCATGTAGTCAACTGCTGTTCAAGTCCCAGACCCGATGGCTGAAACTCATGCCAGGAGTGTGTGCATGCGTGCCCAAGATCCTGAGAGGAGAATAGAGGAGAAAGGATTGCGGCGTTGCCATCCTCCTGGGGGATGATTTCTCACTTTCTGTTTCTCTGTCTGTCTCTGTCTTTCTGGCGAGCACACGCGCCCTATAGCAAAAACCTCTTCAAAAAAAAAAAAAA